AGTGATATAGGTTAAGAAGAGCAAAACGGGTGGTTTGAAGATGAGCTGACGGTGGGGTGGAACGGGGTGTCAAGTGTGTTGACTTGTGTGTTATGTATGTGTGTGTTATGGTCGGTCAATCTACCGACTGTCTGACTCCAGAGCAGCTGGGAATCCATTTAGGGGTGTTTCTTTTCTGCTGTCAGATTCCCTGCTGTCATTGATGCCATAGACATATTTGGGTATACATAAACTCTCTCCAACTACAAGAAAAGTGTGCAACAAAAACCTATGATGTGCCTGTCTGTGTTTAGGGTTGAATCCGATGTCTCGCCTCATGACCAGACCCAGCAGGCAGGAAGACAGCAGCAATTTGAGAGGTGAGATGATTTTTCTGCAGAACTTTCACTGTCTCCTGTATCTTCTTCAGCTCACCCCAGGTCTCTCTCTGTTCAGATTCAGCATGGCAGTATGGAGCTCCGGGCTTTCAGGAGCTGAAGGCTGCCGTGACAGAGGTACCCGCTCCAGGTGGCAACGAGGACAACACAGGTAGTTGGATGGTGTATTTGAACTGAGGCTTATTGCTATTTATGGAATCACAAATAGAGACCAGTAGATACATATTGTCTATACACACCAATTAAATGCATGTTGTGCAGTACTGAACTACTAGTTGCAAAATGGAATAATGGAAACAAATATTTTACAGTTGTACGGTGGGTCATTTAAAAAGTGGTTTTCTTTAAAATAACTTACTTGTTCCTAAACGGGACTCCTTGAACATGTTTGTGCCTTTTGAAGAGTTTTAATACCACAATACTTATTATTTATTTCACTTTTATTGTTTTTTTAATTTTTGTTCTCTTTCTGTGTCATTTTTATCTCAGTGAGATATTATTTAACTTTTCTACCTGATATAAACTATATTGTTATAGGTTGTGTTTAATGTTTTGTCTCCTTTGGTATAATATTTTAAATTAACTTATGAGATCCTGGTGTTGGTCTTGTGCACCACTTTTGTGAGACTCTAGTCTAATTAGCAGGTATGTGTGTCTGTGTAACACACCCATACAGATTATACTGTAGATTACTAGAGATGATATTGTAGCACTCTACCCTCTCATCCTCTCATCCCGACATGGTCACTCCTGACTCCAGAAAAACACGGTGCTCATAAACCAGTGGATGATGTCACCATGACTACGTTTTATAAGGTTTATAGTACAAACACACCAGTATGACCCTTTAAAGTGTCCAGTTTTTACAGCTCCTACTTCCCTCCCTCCCTTCACCCTTCTCCCCGTGCATCCATCTGACTTGCCAAACATGACACTCGCCCCCCCACCTCTGCTGACAGTCTCAAAGCAAATACTACTATTAATACTGGGGCATTTGGGGTGAGAATACCACAGTCATGCCTGTCTGTAGGTATGAGCGCAATCCTGAGTTTCATATTTGTCTTCTAAGTGTAGAGGGAAAGCACCTCTAGCGATGACACGCTTGAACCTTCCCAAAGCCACGTCACCGCTCATTTCGGGGCTAGTTTTTTTTTCATGGACATCATGAAAATACACATGCAGTCAACACAGATAGTCATTTGATCTCAGATGAGGCCACACTAACCAGTATATTTATAAGACATACTCCTATTTAACCTTAAATCCGGCTTTACTTCCTGAACCTGAGAGCAAGGGTGTATTTAAGGAAGTGGTAAATATACAGCCTGCCTTATCGTTTTCCAAATAAGAGAAGCATAGAGTTCCCGCGCAGGATGAGTCGTACTACAGCTGCTGCTGCTCTGGTCATGGTGACTCGGGCAAAGTTGGACTTGTTGTCGAGTTGCATCTCCAGACCTGTTGTCTGCTTCCATGAGGAGAAACCGTGACCTCGATCACATTCCTGTCGTCACCCCTCAGTCATGCGCATGTAGATCTCCTCGTTTGAGCCACCTTAAATGATCCCATGGCCTAAATGTTTAACTATCAGGGAACATTTGTGTTTTTTGAGAAATAGTAATCTGAGGTGTTTTCTATCCTTCCTGTTTGCAGGATGTGGGGAGCTCCTTTCAGTTAGTGAGCCGGTAACTCACAGGAAAGCTGATAATATAGAAGGTAAATATGGTATTTGGATGCAAGACCCTGAGGCTGTTTCTCCTTACGGACCCAACATGCTCTGGCGCATTGATGCCATTGGCGCTGAGGTCAAGCAGATGTTTGGGTATGAGGACTTGGAGCAACTCTCTAAAGGCTTCCCATCCAAGGCAGGTGTCACATGGTTGATGTTCAGGATGGAACACATCTTTGATCTTAATTAAATCTTGATTATTGTTCTTGTTTCCCCCCGGTAGGTTCTGCTACTGCCGGAGTTGTTAGAGAGCACTGGTGCCACTGTGTATAGAGGTTCCCTGTATTATCAGAGACGCAACAGCCGCACTCTCATCCGATACGATCTGGCTTCTGAGAGCGTTGCAGCTCGCCGTGAGCTTCCTCACGCTGGCTTCCATGGCCAGTTCCCATACTCCTGGGGAGGCTACACCGACATCGACTTGTCTGTGGACGAGAATGGGCTGTGGGCCGTCTACTCCACCAATAAGGCCAAGGGAGCAATCGTTATCTCACAGCTGGACCCAGAAAGCCTGGGGGTGAAGAAGAGCTGGGAAACCAACATCAGGAAGAACTCTGTGGCCAACTCTTTCATCATCTGCGGCAAGCTGTACACCGTGGCTAGTTATGCATCTCGTGAAACCACCATCAACTACATGTACGACACCGAAACCAGCCAGGGGAAGAACCTGGCCATCCCCTTCAAGAACAAGTACGGCTACAACAGCATGATCGACTACAGCCTGGCTCAGAGGAAGCTCTTTGGTTGGGACAACTTCCACATAGTGTCCTATGACGTCAGGCTCGGGCGCCAGCAGGCCAACTGAGGCCAGCACGAGAGTGACTGCTGAAAAGTGACATTTGCTTGGCTGTTCCCGCTTCAAAGACTCACAGCTTTAGAGCATGAGTGGCAGCAGTTGTTAGAAACCTAACACCTTCAGTATCCATGTGTAGAGGAGCCTAACTACCAAACTTAAAAGTGAGATGAAAACATCTGAGGAACAGTGTTCCAGGCAGGTGCTTTTTTCCTCAGATGTGAGGAGCTTTGGCTGTGGTATGATCCACAAACATGTTTTTAGAGGAATTATTTTTGTACCGCCTTTAATCCAGATGTATAATTTTGTTGTTTTCTTGTTAAGCTATGTATATTTGAGGTTGAAAGAAAAGAACACAGAATTTTTCTATGTGGAATTAAAAAAATATGACAAAAACTCCTGTGGTACTACATACACCCTATACAGTTGTTTCACCAGTCAACATCTTTTATCAAATAAACTGCGCTCTTACTTACTGAATATTGCATGTACTTGTACAATGTAGTCAAAATATTGATGTAATGTTCAAAATCATCATGAAATAAACCTGAATTAAAGTCTGAGTGATTATTTGTTATCTTAAGATTTTGAGACGTTCAATTATTAAAGAAAAGCCAAAGACTTAATGCAATTTCATCGCTTTCTAGCTATTAAAACTAGATTGAGCAAAAATAAAACAATTATTCTGATCAAAGTATTGCACATGCTCACTTAAACGTCAGGGGTATAAATCTATCCAGGTAGGGAGCAGAAACCAGTGTGAATCCATTTCACACCCCGTCTCCCAGCACAGTTTCAAGAGTGTGGAGAAGATACCATGAGACAGGTCTTTTATTGCACCTTCTTCTCACCACCAGGACCATGCAGCTCGACTGGCATGTCCCAACTTCTTCCAGCTCCCCCAGGATGACACATACACAGGCACTGCAAAGTTTGTCGTCTCTCCCAAAACAGTCTCAAGAGTGCGGATTAGATAACAGGAGATGGGGTGTTACATGAGGGCACCTGGACAGGGCCGCATAAGGACCAGCATATGCTCCTTTGTGCAAGGAAGAACAGAAGCACTACCAAATTATGTCCAGAGGGCTACTGGTGGATATGTCCAACTAAACTGTTAGAAATTGATTCCATAAGGGTCTCATCGGGTTCTGCAATCCTTTAGTGAGACTTGTGTTCACAGCTGTAGATTATGCAGCTGAACTGGTATCTGCCAGAGAACACCACTGTCGACTTCACAGATGACAGCAGTTTAACCCAGAGCATCTGGTAGACGTTAATAAGTTGCCAGTTGAGCTGCTGCTCGCCACTTTCATTTGTACCAAAGCAGGTAGAATGGACAGCTCGATATCCCTGAAGTATAATATATGTTCAGCTGAACAGGTGTCTAAAGTCGTTGTTGGTAACACAGCTAAAACGGAACTGTTGTTTTTAGCTCATAAGCTGAGGTTTTCAAATTATATGGTTCAGGAAATATTACTTTAATACTACTAAAATACCATTCTAAGTCTTGGAAAACTGAAAAGGCTCAAAGCACTGCTGATTACTGGCGATTCAAATGAATAAAAACCAAGTCTTACCAATTAGCAAAGATTTAATCTAATTTTCAAATAAATAAAATGATATTTAGCATATTTGAAAGGTTTTTAAAGTACTTTCTCTCGAGACAAAACCCTGTTAACCTGGTCAAGCAGTGACTTTAACCCTCTCCAGGCAGGCGTTGCAGATTTGCAACAGTTAAATACTAACAACGTGATTACCCAACATACATATTTTATGAGTTTCTTTTACTCAGAAGTACCACTGCAGGACTTGGTTGTGCATTAGCAACAAAAAGTTTAAAGCCTGAGAGGGTTAAGAGGTAATAAAACATCAGTGATTTACTGACCAGTCATAAGACCTTTCCATCAGCTCTTCAAAAGAAGGTGGAACTAGAAGAAAATGGGTTTTCCTCATGTAAGCTCTCCATTGTTCCCATTTAAAATGGTGTTTACTGACACCTAGTGGTCAGATGCAATCAAAACCAGAATTAAATTGATTAGAAATTTCACAGCATGATCATCGAAAAGGATTTGGAAGTAAAAAGCACACTTCACTGAAAAACATCTCAACAGTATATTATTTATTAGTTTCTGTAACCAAACCAAGAGAATGTAAATAAGACCGTACATATTTTAATACAGCGATGAAACCCCTGTACAAGTACAACAAAAATAAAATAAAATCAAAAACAAAACAAAACAAACAATTCATTACCCTCCCTCCCTAATCCCCCCTCCAGAGTAAGGACTTTTCCCTCAACCAGGGTAGACGTGAGGGGTCCCCTCACCACCTCAGGGCGCATACTACTGTACATTTCTGAAGGACCATTGTCACCGCAACCCCAAGATGAGAGCATTGTGGGTGGGGCAGCCAGTGGAGGTGAGGCAGAGAGAAAACAGCACTGATTGCTCTCATCAGCAAAGACAACAAAATAATAATTGTCCTTCTGCCCAAACACTTCAGAATTTGAGGCTTCTCTCCCTCCGTCTTTTTTTATTTTTATTTTAAACTTGTTCTCCGTCCTGTTCCTGTTCCCTCTCGCCATAAAGGTCAATACACACACACACACACACACACACACACACAAAAAGATTTGTTTTAAACGATCGGCTCACCGATTCCTCTACCCAGCCCTATCCTGCTAAACTCTAGCTAAACTCTAAAAATCAGTCAATAGCAGCAGGTCTCGGTGTTTGACAGTGAGGTGTGTATGTGTGTGTTTGTGTGATAGCAAGGATGGGTGTGAAAGCAGTGAATGGGTGTGTGTGTGTGACAGCAGCTCCTACACTGGAACAACTGCAAGTAGTGATCATACATCATCCATGTAAACCTGTAAATCCACTCAAATCTCACCAATCTTAAAAAGGCTGCGACTTCATCTCTGCTCTGCTTTAACCTTTGGCTAAATAAACAGGAGAGTCCAGCTACAAGCTCTCCCTCTGTTTTTACCACATGCACAGACCCGACACACACCCACCCCAACACATCAGTAAAATCTCAGGCAAGGAGATGAGAGCAGAAGGCAGGAGCAAAGGCTCACAGGCAGACGAATCAAGAACTCAATCGATTATTAAAGTCAATCAAAAGCTGCGATTTTCACATTTCAATTCTGGTAAAAAAAAGAAAGAAAACAAAACAAATGACAACAGGATTTCAGAATTCATATCTTCGAGCAGTAATCGGATCAAACCGTTGAGCGAGAGGGTGTGCACGCCTGCACGGATCTCTGGATTAGTTATAATGGGAGATTGGGGAACAAAACGTGTGCTTCACTAAATGACATCTCCTTAAGATTGCTTCAACTACAAAATCAAATTTGATTCATTCTCTTGTTAACAAAACAGGGATCTGATATAATGTGTGATCCTATTTGGTGGGTGGGAGGGTAAACTGAACAGAAATGAGGAGCTATAAAAAAATGGCAAACTCAGCAGCAAATTTCAGATTTCTCTCTCTCCCCCCCAACTCTCTCGTCATCTACCGTCACAGTAGATTTCTAGGGAACAGCTTGCTCAGCAACTTTACCGGCAGCTAAATGTGATGGAACAACCCAACTCAAATGCCCCCACCTACAGTGGGACAAGACGGGGGAAGGAAGATGAGGAAGAGGATTTTGTTTACACTCCAAAGGGCCTACTGTCAGTAACCACTACCATCTGTATCTCTACCCAACTCCTCCCCCACGCTGTCCTCGGGGCTGATGTGAGGTGGTGGCTGAGTGAATGGGGCTAGATTCACTCTTCCATCCTTTCGTTTCATTATCTGAAGAGGGTCAGAAGTGCTTTACTTTCCCTCCTCTGGTTTGATGGCCTGCGGCTTTATGGGGCCAGTCCGTATGGGCTTGGCCGTCGATGCGGAGGGTTTTTCAGAATCTGGGCGCTCGCCTCCTGTCTGGTGGTTTGGAGCTGATGTGTCAAGCGGGGGTTTTCCTCCTTGATCGATTCGAGATGCTTTGTTGGCTTGCGGGGCCTTGAGCTGCTGCTGCTGTTGCTGCTGTTCTGAGAAGAACTTGTGAGTGGACTGGAGCACCTCAGCCCGCTGCTTTGCCTAAAGAGAGAAAGAAAAATACAAATAATTCAACTAATATATCCATTAGACTGCACAGGCTACTCCAACAAACAAATAACAGCAGACACACCTTTAGGTCCTGTTCAGCCTTTAGAGCTGCTTGCGTGCCTCTGGGTGCAAGGGTTGAGCCAGGTGGTCCCCGTGGGGGGTGCTGGCTGTGCTGTGGGTGCTGCGGTCTGGGGTGAGGCATGAGCCCACCGCTTACATTGGGTGACATTGGAGGGCCCATGGGAGAGCGCTGGACACCTCCAACGAAGGAGTTAGCATGAGGAGGGCGAACCAGAGGAGAGACTATGCTGGGCTGAGACAGAAGCTGAATAAAAAAAAAGGAGCAGAATAAACTCAATCATTTGGAATTAATAGTTCAAAATTAGTGCTTTATACAAGTTACCAAAGAAAAACAAAATTAGATTATTACCTGTGGGTTGAACTGGCCAGGAAAGTGCTGCGTCATTCTCATGCCGGCAGAGCTGGGCTGAAACTGCTTCTGGTAGAGCATACTGTTAATCTTGCTTGACTGGCTGCTAGGAGAGGTGGAGCTGGCCCTGCAGTGAGAAGTCAAAGAAACATTACAGAAACATGATATTAACAAAACCTATGAACACTCCTGAGAATAAGAAGCGCCTTAAGGTACATTTTTAGTTTGTGACACAGGGATATCTAAATAAAATGACTGGTTTTCATTACAGTTTGTTCTCTTCTGTTTTGTCCACATTAAATAAGGCTTCAAATAAAAATGATAACAATGTTAACTGTACTTTTACGCATTTACCTGTAAGGACTAGAGGTGGGTGTAGTGCTCCTGCCGCTGACAGGAGGAGTCCCTGGCTTCACGTCCATCCCACTGCCAAATAGTTTCATATCCATGTCCATCTACAACACGTCACAATAAGCCACTGAGTCTCACGTAAAAACTTCTGTTTATTTAAATTGTCAAATACAGATGGTTCAATACCTTGCTGGTGGGAGGCTGCATCATGCTGTGGTTGGGGCCCATGATGCCTCGGTACGGCTGAGAGACTGGGGGCTGTCGGTTGATATTGGGGGGCTGGGTTTGGGGAGGAGTGGGAGGTAGTGCCAAGAGGGGCTGGCCTCCACCCGAGCCAAAGTTAGGCAGGGACAGCTGAGGGACCGTCACCTGGGGAGAAATTAAAACAATGGTAACCCCAAGTGAGAAGAAGAAAAATAAAGTGTGGTCCAACATTTAAAACCCAGAACAGGTTCATAAATTTATTATTATTTGTTATTTTTGCATGTAGGTTACCTGCTGCATTGCAGAACTGGGTGACTGTGTGTTGCTGTAGTAGCTACTCTGACCATGCTGTTGCACCTGCCCTGAGTACATGTTCGAGTGCTGATTCATTCCCTGTCGAGTCTGAACCAAAGGCACAAAAAAGTGAGATGAAATGCATGCATATACAAATTAATCAAATTCACTGTCCATATGATTTTCCGTTTACCTGCAGCAGGTGTGTATCAATGAGCTGAGACCCGCCCATGCCAGAGGGCTGGTTCAGCTGCGGCTCAAACAGAATGGGAATGTGCTGGGTGGACGAGGGTTGTTGATAAGCCAAGTTGGACTGAGGCTTGCCCAGCTCAGGTGCCTGCACACCAGGATAACTGTGGAGGGATGGTCCTGAGAGCATCATAGAGGGCTGTGATAAGTTGCTCTGCATGAATGCCTGCTGGGACCTGATGGATGACAAAACCAGAGAATGAGATGAAAGAAACAATGGCGGGAAGGGAGAAGCAAACTGAAAGCCTGTGATGCCGTTACCTGTAAGGCTGCAGTGAAGAGCTAAAGAGGTCCTGTGGCTGTGAGACTGGAGGGCCGGCGCCGAGTCCTAGCTGAGCCTGATGCGTGTGTTGATGCTGAGGCTGACCTTGCAGAGGAGCATATATAGGGATGGGAATCTGCTGCACAGCAGTTGGCTATAAGGTGGGGGAAGAAGAAAAAAATTAAAATAATGGTTTTGTCTTTTAATATTTCTCTAAAGACTTAACTGTATTGTTTTATTCCTACCTGTGAGAGGCCGGGCTGGAAACCTTGCTGCTGCGCCAGGGAAGGAGGAGCCAAACGAGGATGGGGTGTGCTGAAGAGGTGGCTAGTGTCCATGTAGAAGGCTGGAATCTGAGCTGCAGAACCTACACATGTTAAATATTACAGATCAATCACAGAAACACACACACACACACACACACACACACACACTCCACAAATATGTAATAACAAAACCTGTAAAATCTGTATAACAGAAGTTTTCCCCTCACCTGCTGCAGACTGAGAGACGTACACCTGTGGGGTCTGCTGTTGCTGGGGCAGGAGGGGAGGCACACAGCCAAGCTGAGAGAAGCTGCTGCTACTGCTGCTATTGCTAGAAGAGGACAGGCTTCCACCTTGCAGCTGCTGGGGCTTCACCTTACAGATGTTAGGGGGGTCAGAGGCTGTGGTGGTTTTGGTACTGAGGGACGATGTCGTATAAGTGGCAGAGCCTGCGAGGTGAAAATGATTAAAAGATGTGTTTTAACAAGTTTGCAAAAACAATACTGTAGGAAGTAGGATATGTTTGAGTGGGAGTTACATTACCTGATAGCGAGGTACTGGGGGTAACAGAAGCCACCGGGATCTGTGGCATGGAGGCTGAGGAGAAGGAGGAGTATGAGGAAGTGCAGGAGGTGATGGGGGATGAGGAGGTGGTGACAGGAGAACTCTTCTCCAGACTTGGAGAATTTTCCCATGCTTTGCGTGCAGATTCCATCTGAAGAGGTAAAAGAAAGAAAAAAGTGTTTAAGTGATGGTTCAGAGAACAAAATTTTGCAGAAAATAATGTTGCTTAGAGTTTTCTGTACATCTGTGTACCTTTAGTGTTAGGTCAACAGTAGCTGGAGAGACTGTACTGAGACTGGAGCTCTGCTGGAGGGTCTCGCGGCGAGGGAGAGGCAATGAGTGCGGTAGTGCCACCTAAAAAACATAGAACCAGAGGGAGGGAAAAAAAAAAAGACGTAATCTCCTCAAATTAAAAATGGTGTGTAACATTTTGAGCCTGTGTAAAGACATATACTCACATTGGCCACTAAACTCTCTTCCATTTTGTTGCCTGCTGTGGGAACGCTGTCGGCCAACGACGAGGAGGGGGTGGTATAGTCAGTGACAGACTCCTGAGGGACAATAATTTAATATGAAGGCATTCATATTAAAACAGAGTAACAAAAGTACTATAAGAGTTAACTAAATGTTGTTCATGATGAAAAAGTAAAGAATTTTGGGGGGGAAAAAACATCACTGGTTAAGTAATAATTTGAATATTGTGCCAGCCATGAATGAAGTCCCAAATGAAGTCATTCAACAGAGTTTGAGGGACAGGATTTGATGCCCGGTGTTCTCCGATTTCCATTTGTAGTTTGCTTGTAGCCCAAGTGCTACTAACTGATCACATTTGAACAGACTTTGGTTGCCTGCCAGTAACCACAATGTGTGGTGAGCAAAAGATGGATGGTGTTTGGTTATATGCAGTCAATAATGACCTGATATTGTCTGAATAGAAGTGGTTTCTTTATCATTGTATTTTTTTTTAGCTCCATCTGTAAACAATAAATTGAGGACATAAACTAAACTCTCCCCCATTTCAGTCATCAGACTATATGGGTTAATTATAGCAGGACTTCATCTAGCTCAATGTGAACGGTTGTAAAACAGTTGTAGTATACCTTAGAGTTGCTGTTGTACTCTGCTGAGGGGACTGTGATCATGCCCTCAATGCCTCCACCCAGCTCTGGTACTGTGGTGTCGCTAGTGGGAGGACTGGAGTCTGCTGCTCTGCTAGCACCTCCTCCAGGTACTCCTCCCTCCATCCCATCAGCTTCTCCTCCACGTGCATCTTTGGCCTTACGATTTTTTAGAGAGCGCTCTTTACCAATGGGACCTGGCTTGTACTCCTTGGTTTCCACTGGTTCCATCTCTGGTAGCTGAGGAGAAGTGATTAAACATTTAGGCTGGAGTAAATATTTACAGAAATGACACAAGCCAGTGTCATTTAACACAAAACTGCATTTCTAGAAGACTATGTGTACCTTCTGTGTTTTGATTGGGCCAGCTCGAGGTTGTTTCTGTCTCTGTTCTTTGGGAGCAGGTAGTTTGTTTTCAGAGCCACTTTCAAGCAATGCAGGAACTCCATCACTGTCAGTGCTGCCTGCAGATGATGGCGCTCCAAACTGAATACTGTCTATCCCCAGCTCCACGCTGCCCTCAGCTCCAGGCTTTATACCCTAAAAAACACATGTTTCATGGTTTATCGTGTGACAAAAGCATTAAAACAATAAAGAGGAAGGTGCGAGAAGCATTTTACCTACCTCAGAGGAGACAGTACCAGTAAAGGAGGTAAGCGGTTTGTTCCAGGCACTCACAGAAGGTGGCTGGGGAGGGCTTATTGGACCAACTGGAATAAACATTGTATATTTTAGATTAGAAAGCCATCCACAATTCAACCAAAGATAATTTCAAGAGTCAAGAAAGAGAAGATTAAGACCAAAATGAACTTTTCCACTCACGCTTCTTGACATCCGGAAGGACGGTACCACCCGCTACCTTGTTCTCCCACAATTCAGTACCCAGAGTACTGTGTGTCTGTGCAGGTGCAGGGGGTAGGCTCTTTGACGTGAAGTCTGCAGCAGCAGGGGGAACAGAAGGCAGAGGAGCCACTGTTCCTTCCAGAGTCTGAGGTGAAGCAGCAGGCTGGGAGGAGGCATGATGAGGATGTTGGGCAGCAGGAACTGAAGGCTGCTGTTGGGCCTGGGGGGCAGCAGCTACAGGAGGCTGAGATTGAGGGGCCTGTTGTTGTTGCTGCTGCTGCGATGACTGCTTTTTAGCAAATCTTGGTGGCAGCTTTCCTCCACTTCCTCTGCTCTTCTCACCGGGGCCTTTTTTACCCCAGTTCTGTAGGACGTGTGTGGATATTAGTTACACACCTACATTTTTTTACTTTAAACATTGCACCACACAAACTATCGTTCCCCCACCTGAGTAGTTTGCTCTTCTTTTTTCCGTTTCTCTTCATCCTGCAGACGCTTCTGTTGTTTTCGGGAGACAACCTCTGTGAAACCATCATCGTTGGCACTGGACTGTGGGTCCTCTGTGGTGGTAACCTCTGGGTGGTCATCAATAATCACAACACCTACAATAACAACAAATTTAACCTCAGTTTTCAAGTGATAAACAGCTCGAGTGCAGTACAGGCTTAATCTATGAGCATGTTTACTGACTGGCATAATTATTGAGATCAAACTGAGAAAGAGCATTCTCCTTGGGCTTCTTGGTGGCCTGCTTAGCTTCATCTTTGCGACGCGCAGGCTGCTCTTTTGCAGGTCGCTGGGCTGCTCCTCCAGGTGCTAGCGCTGCTGTCTCTGAGTTTTGGGCTGCAGGGCTGTTTCATTAAGAGACAAGTAGAAAGCAAAAACATTTAAACCTTTAATTCCTGTATATTTATGCAAAAAACGAAAAACAAAACCACAGGCAGCTTGTACAAGAAACAGTGAGAATCTTTCTGCTTTCCTTCAGAAACCTGAGACACAGTAAAAGTCTAAAAATACCACCAGTCTGATTCTGCATTTAGCTACTTTTATGACAGCCAATTATAGCATACTGATCACCAGAGTGAAGAATCCTTCTAAATAATTGCAGAAATAATGGCCCCTTTTAACAAAACTTAAAGCTCAAATACAAGGATTGAATTTAGTTCCTACATCCCATAAAACTGATTGTGTATAATAAATATACTATGATGATTATACCCCTTTCCTTTTTTAAATGCACTTCCAGTAGAAATTCTTCTGGAAATTTCTTTCATCTTAACAAGATCATTTCCAGGGAAAGAAACCCAGTCTTGAACTTAAAACAACAAGAACATGCCACTTCAAACTACTGTGATATTTACATTCTGCACTGGTGCTATTCAGTTGAACTCTTAATTAGGCATAATAACTACACAAATGGTTTATTGTTTGAAAATAAACTCTGTTCAACTTCTTTGTGCAAGTGACAAAAGCCTCATTGTCTCACACTCACCCTTTGCGGCCAGCTTTGGCCCCTCCTCTCCTCTCTCCCTTGCCCCCTGTGTAGCTGCGCCCTGGTTTGGCTCCACTGTTGCCTCTACGATTCTGTCTCTCTGTAGGCCTCTGACTCGAGAAGCTCCTCTTGGCTCCAGGAGCTCCATCACGTTTTGGTGTCAGCCCTCCATCAGGTGAGCTTTTACTGGGAGTCAAAGAGCCCTGGGGTGGTGCAGGGGCTGGTGCAGATGCTGTAGCTGCTCCATTAGCAGGCTCCACTGCTCCTTTCTTCTCTTCTCGCTCTCTCCTTTCATTAAAGTCACTGCTCTCAGAAGCAGTTTCCCATTCCTCATTCGCCTGATCTGACGAGTTCTGATTTGACAAATCAGGCGACTTGGTACCAGCAGCAGTAATAGTGGGACTACTTGTATCAGGCAAAGGCGCTTCTAAAGGAGACGGGAGGTCAGGTGTGGGCATAGAGGCTGCCGTTTCTGCAGGCACAGTTAATGGGGTTCCTGGAGCTCTAGAGAGAGTTGGGGAGAGGGGGATTGGGGCAGTTGCAGTGCTGGGCACAGCAGCAGCAGGAGGCACTGAGGGTAAAGAAACAGGGGGACTGGGGGCTGACTCTCCACTAGCCAAAACTGCAGCCTCACGCTCCTTTAAACGCCTAAAGCGGGGCGGTTTATCTTGCCTTGGGGGCCGTGCTGGTCTAGATCGACGAGGCCTCTCTCTGCTACTTTGAGGACCCCCCTCCCCAAATTTCTTCCCCTCAGATTTTGGGGGTCGTCGGTCAGTAGGAGGATTGTCAAATCTTGATGTGGACTCTGCATCTTCAGGCCTGAATGTCTCCATGGGTTTAGAGGGCCACTGGGAAGAAGGTTCTCTGGCTGCTGGTCGTCTAAGAGGGGCTGAGCGTGGGCCTCCACGCTCCCTCGCTCCACCTCGTCTGCTGTATAATCCCCCTCTTCCTCGCCGAGAAGGCTCTCCTTTAGGAAGGAATCCTGGTTTGGGGCGGCTTTCATCATCTGCTCTTGATCCAACCTTTTCCCCCATGTGAGGTGGTCCAAAGCCTGGCTTGTGAGATACTGAGCGGCCCTCCCCAGGGAGCTCTCTTCTCAGTGGACGGCTAGGTTTGGTGCTAGGCTCACGGTCAGATGGTCCAGTATCACTGGCAGACTCCCTCCCGCCTTCACTTTCAGAGTCTGTGTCTGAACCACGGCGCCGTCTACGTTTTGGTATAACCTCAAAGTCCGAGCTCTCACTTCGTGTTTCACTTTCCTCCCTGTTGCGAAAGGCAGCAGCACCTGCAGCAGATGGTAAATCTGAGCGTGATCGGGGCTCTCGATAGGGGTATTCTGCCCGGCTTCTACCCCGACTCCCCCTGCCTCTACCACTGTAAGTCCCACGGTAGCTTCGTCCTCTGGAATAATACTCCCCTCGACCACGACCTTTGAAATTTGAGTCTGCCGGCCATTCTCGCTCTCTGTCCTTATCCATTTCCTTCTCCCGCTCTCGTTCCCTCTCTCTTTCCTCTCGCCCCCTCTCTCTTTCCTCTCGCCCCCTCTCTCTTTCCTCTCGCCCCCTCTCTCTTTCCTCTCGCCCCCTCTCTCTTTCCTCTCGCCGGTAGGAACGTGGAGGGAGGTTGGACTCTTTCCGAGAGGGCAGTTTGGGTTCTGAATGTTTCTCATTGCTGGATGCCTTTTCCACCTTCTCCTCCTGAGAAGAAGAGGTGGGAGCCCCAGAAGAAGGCTGAGAGTCTCTGGCCCTCTGATGGGCAGTTGGAGTTTCCTCCGCCTCTGCAGTTTCTCTCTTTCCCTCACCGTGAGGCCTGGAGTCTTCTGATACAACAGCAGCTGCAGATGGAGCTTTGGAAGACTGTTCCTTTTTGGGCCTATCCCCTCTTTCCCCTCTCTCATGACGCTTCTCTCTTTCTTCTCTTTGCTCCCTCTCTTCTTTCATGTCCCTTAAGACAGGTTTCTTTATTGGCCCAGATCTACGTGCAGGTCTGTCTCCTCCTGGTCCTTCTCTGCGTCCAGCTCCTGATCTTCCACCCCACCGCAGCTCAGCCTTCTGCTTGCTGGGTGCTGGCAGAGGCAACTTCTCTTGTTTGTGTAATCCATCAGCAGGAGGGGTAGCTCTGTTATTTGTTACAGCAGCCTGAGAGTAGAGCTCATTCTGGGGCTTATCATCAGTTCGTTCCCCTGCTTCCTGTATCTCTAGTGATTTTGTTCCCAGGGGTAGCCCGTCAAACCTAGGCTCTTCAAGCTTAAGAGAGTGGCTGGAGCCCTGTGAGACATTTCTCTGGAGCATGGCTTGGCCAAGAGCTTCTACCTCCTCCCCACTTGGTAAGCCTGGCTCCTCTGGGTCAAAACCTGTGCCTACAGGGACTCTGTCAAGAGGTCCTGGCAAGTCTTCCGGGCCCTGCGTAAATGCTGATAGAGACTCTGAAGGGTCCCGGAAGAAGTTACTTTTACGAGAGTCCAATGAACCGTGATCTTGGGGATAGATAGCTGGAAGACCCCTGTCCAGATCCAAACCAGAATCCATCCTATAAATAAAAACACCAAATTTTAATTGAGATGTTTAAAGCATGAAAGAAGTTAATTACCAATTACTTCCATTCATATTTTTTTCTGTCAATTAATATTTTTTAACCTTTGCTCCTTGTTATCATCCCTTCCTTTTGGAGGAGTTACAGAAGGTAATGGCTCTGACTGTGGGTATGGGTCTGATCCCCAGACCATCCGTGAGTCTGAGGCCAGGCCGTGGTCACGAACTGGTCGGGTTAAGTGGTCAAATGAATCCGAGCTAGAGCTTGAGTTGTCCCCTGGCTCCCTGCGTACAATCTGCTTAGGTGGCATCCTCCCTGAAGTTGACAAAAGATGTACTTTGAAAAAAAAACCAAAAAAAACCCCACACAGCAACACTTATCACACCCACACCAAATTTATTTTGCATATCTACTTACCAGGGTGAATGTTAGTTGGCATGTCCATAGGTGGCCGGCCTGACATCATCCGAGGGTCCATGTAGGACTGCATCATAAGCCAACGGGGATCAAATCCCATGGAGGCCAAGTGTTGGTGGTGAGGGCCTATGGGTTGGTACATGGAGCGGTGCTGTTGTTGCTGTTGCTGCTGCTGCTGCTGGGCAGCTGGAACGCTGCCACCACTTGAGGGAGACACAGAGCCCCCACTCTGCTGTTGCTGCTGTTGTTGTTGCCATTGCTGCTGCTTCATCTGTTCCTACAAGTGCATTGAAGAACATTTAAGAAATGTTAAAAAAAAAAACTCAAGCCAACTTAACCCATCAAACAGACACATCTTATCAAATTATTCTACCAAGCGCTCAACCTGATCACCATATGTCACAGTTAAAGCTATTGCAAAGAAACAGCTCAGGTGTGGAAATGTTGCTTGACAGGCCTTCTAAGATCCCCAACTAGCCTATGGTACAACCAGATAATGATTTACCAAGTAAGGCCAAACCCTTACCTGCTGTCTGAGGAATCGAGGTGGTAAAGACTTCTGAAACTGTTTGGAATAGCCTGAGATGACAGAAGGACGCATAGCAGCTGCTGCCTCCCCTTCCAGCGGTGATTGTGCAATAGGGACTTCATCACCAGCAGGGGTTTCCTTGTGGGGCAAAGACATGTGGGGCTCATCCACTGTGGAAAAACAAAAACAGTATTGGCATTAATTAACAAGTGGTAGTCAGATAATTTTTTTGCAACTTGATCATTGTTCAGAGTTAGCTTACCTCTGTTGTCCTCCATGTTAAAATAGTCTCGGATTGGCACTGAGGTCCTATCAGTTTGGTTCTCGTCCATTATGGGACCAACCTCAGCCAAGGAGGTCTCTCCCTCGCCCTGTGGCTGCTCTGGAGCTAAGGCTACAGGTCTCTGGACAGGCGGGGTGGGCTGACGAGGCAGGTGAACCTCTTCCTCAGCATTTGGTTCTGCTCCATCTCGCTCCCCTCTCTCAGGTAAGGAAGTCTGCATGACTGTGGCTTGTGATTGTGAAATTGGGACTGAAGGTGCAGGACTAGAAACAGGAGGAGTTGATAAAGATGCTTCCTCACGGGGAGCTCCTGCCTCATCATTGGTGGTCTGAGCAGGGGAAGGCTTGCCCTCATTAGCCTGGCGGTGTTTTTCATTTAAACGTTTAAGTTTTTCAGCACAAGCAGCAAGTCGTTGCTCCTCCATCCGGCGTTCCTCTTCCTCTCTCCTCCGTCTTGCTCGCTCTACAGCTTCAGAAATTTCAGAAGACTTTTTCCGTTTTTGCCGCCAGGCTTCAGAATCCTCCTCAGCACCAGGTGCCCCTGCAGCCTGTGCTTTGCCCCCACGCTGAGCTCCACCACCACCAGAGCGACTGCCAGCCTGAAAAACGGAGAATAAAGTCATAAACAAAGTGATCACAGTGTTGTTACGTTCCCCTAAACGGGTCCAGGCGGCGAGGGGGAAGTAACAGTGTTAATAAAATTAAGACATGATAGTAGGCTTCTGTAACTTGCACATGCTTTACCTGGAAGTCCTGTGTAGCAGCTGATTTATTATATTGCCCCATACTCCCAGGTGATGGGGCTCTGGGATCAACACTCTCAGCCCATGAAGCTTTACTTCCTCCACGGTCCTCAGATCCCTCCTTCCAGCCCTCCTGACCGTCCGTTGGCCGAGCTCTCATACGATCCACTTTACCCAGCCATTCCCTGAAAAGAAGATAGTTAAGTAAAAAAACAAAACAAAACAAACACCTAACACGCATGCCCAATTTTCAACTAACCTGAATTGCTAGTTTCATTAATGACTTCACCACAAATGCAGCCAAACTTCCATTTAAAATAAAATAAAAAAAAGTTTTATTATTTCCCTTTGCAAAATTATTTGCCACTTTGCCCATCAACAAGTGACAATAATGCTTCCATTAAACAACCATTCTCACGCTGTGGCCTCCCAGCAATATGTGAATATCAATTTCTTTCTTTGCTCATGGAAGTGAATGAATCGTCAAGCGCTGTAAATCATCTTTAACAACTGCCCATTACTGCACTGTTTTATCGTGTATTGGTCCATTTACCAACAATCATTCATAATGTTGTCCACCTCATTCAAATGCATACGACTGTTTCCCCTACTGTAGCCATCTGTATTAATCATAAGTTAATAAAACTTTGGACCAACTCAGTTCAAATTTTGCCAATATTGGGAAACACTTGTGTGGTGCAAGTGAAGAACACAAAAAGTAAAAGCAGGATATAGTAAATGAGTAAATGAATATATAAAAAAAAAAAAAAAAAAAAAATGCTAACCAGTTTTCTCCCTTGTCTTTAGCAGCTTGGTTCTCCTCATCATCACTGAAGTTAAGTTTCTCAGTGTAGTCCACCTCCATCTGAGCTCCTGAATTGCAAAATAGACATGACTGATAAGAAGCTAGAATTATCAGAGACGCACAAATTTCTATTACAATTAGATGTTGTCATTTATAGAAGATATAAATCTACTGACCTGCCCAGCCCTCATCAGCATCAGTGTCCAAGTTGTCGAGTTCCTTCAGTTCAGTTGCACTGATAATAGAGGGTCTGTCTGGGTCTTGAAGCCAGGATTGTGGGGGTGGCTGCTGAGGTCGTGCTGAACGAGGAGCCCTGAAAAATAAAGGAAAGTTGATTTTTAAACCTAACAAATACATAAATTACTTGTGTACACAATGTGCTTCTGTGATCATGTAATTTGTGTAGCAATGATGTTAATGTTTCATGTTTAAAATAATCCAAAAATACCGTACTAATAAAAACTCAAAATTGATCTTTTTTTTCTGCAATCCAAGTATCAAGGGCTTATCCCTTAAACTCACTTTGCCCCATCTTGTGGTACAGGGTATCTGAAGTTCCCCTGCCCTGCACCAAAGGACATTTGCGGATAGGCGTGGAACATCTAAATCACAGAGACGGCAATCAACACACAGCGTAAAGAAAAACAACCACTAGTTTTTGCAGTTGTGATATTTTTGTTTTGCCCATCCAGAATATGTAACAATATTACGTACATAAGGTGGCATCATGCTCCTGAAAGCAGGGTCAAAGTGAGTTGGTACGCCAGCAGGAGGCTGTTGGCCTCCATTAACTTTAGGTTGAGGGGGGCCAGAGGGAGGTAACCTCTCCCTGGGATCCTTCTTCTCCCTTTGGCCATCAGTGGTTGTGTTTCGGCCAGGTTCATCAGCTTCGACAGGTGGCGTAGAGGTACCAGGGGCCGTGCTACCCTCCTCCAAAGCCCTGTTCTCCATCTCCGGGGGGCTAGGTGCAGTGTTCAAATTCCTGCCGCCACCCTCACGCCAACTGCCAACATCTACCAGGACAGACAGATAAGAGGTTTTAATTGTCTGATTACAGTTAGGAATCTTTTAGACCAGGGGTCTCAAACTTAAATGAGCTGTGGGCCACTGCTGGCACTGTCATTTCATTGGAGGGCCACTGTAGTGTTCAAGTGGTACAAAAAACCAAAACCAAAAAACACCAAACAAACAAGAAAACACCCCAAAATATTTCAAAAAGTGTAGTTTTTTTAATTTTTATTTTATTTTAAATATTGTATAACAAGAGAAAACTGCAAACGTGAATGCAATCCCCCCCGTCCCCCCGTCGTGGCTGTGTCCATACTTTGAGGTCTAAGGCTTGGGCCTGGTCCATAAGGCTCCTCTTCTTGACCGTCCTTGACCTCACCAGCCGCCTGCAAGCTGGGAAACTCCTGGTGAAAATGGCTGCTCACACGGGGAGAACCTGTCCAGGACAAGCAGATCATTATAAATGTGAAGAAATCACAAGGTTAAATATATAACAGTCATTTACAGATGCACTGAAGGGTCTAATCCGCAATTTGGTACACAGAAGTTCTACACCCTAACATTACATTATGCAGAGTTCAAATGATCTGCATTCCAAGCGGACTATAATGGCAGACTGAGGATTGGGACTTTGTTTGGTGAACACAAGTAGGGAATGTGCTGGATACTGTTTACAATCTTTTACATAATTTCCTAGCACAACCATGGTGTACACATAGATAATAGTTTTTTGAGCAGGTGTAAGGCTTACGGAGCAAATGGTACGCATATTTACCGTCTAGCTGTGTCTGCTTGCTGTTTGCCCAGGAACGACTGCCCCCAACAGAAGGGTCCTGTGGCTGGACCACTGCTGGTTTGTTTTGAGGTGGTGGTGTCTCCTGTTGCCTATGGTACATAAAAACAGGGTAAAGCTTTCAACAACATGAATCTGAAATATGAATGGTACTTCACTTTATATTAGATAATTACAGCTACTGTTAAGTAACTTGGGGTAAAACGTTTAGACTATTTTCCTCTGTATGAAAAAAAACAAATGTGGATCTAAGATATTTAATGCAAGCAAGTTAAATGCACCTCTCCTCCCCGGCTTCAGTTCGAGATGCCCATCCACTGCCGTCTTTGGGGACAATGTTGACGTTGGGATCGTTTCCCTTGTTCTCTGCTTTCAGGCTGGGGAGGTTGGCCGGAGGGGGCATGCGCCGGCTGACAGCAACTTTGCCCAAACTCTGGAGCCCATGTCTGGCAGCCACTGGAATGAAGAAACATTATGCAGAAGAAGATCAAGATTAGGATATTTTGCCCCCCTGAACTGCTTTTAAACAATGTTCACATGAGTAATAGGGGTCAGGTTGTTTGACTTATTTTGGATTTATTCATAACACAGCTGTCACACTGCTCCTCATGCAGCCTGCAGTGTAGTCCCAACACGTCAGTGATACACTTGACAATTAAAAAGAACACAGACAAAAGACACCCGTTTGTTTATATGCATTCTCTAGTATAATTCTTTATCTGAAGTATACCAACAAACAACCTCATAACGGCCTATGAACATGAATATAAAAACAGTTAAGCCAAATCAAAGATTCATCGAGTACTTAGAATAATTAGATTAAAAAAAATAAATCCTACAATTCTTTGCTTCCATGCTTTATTACTGGAAGCTTACCTGCAGTTTTCTGGGTTTCCAGAGATTTGCCTTTGTAGGTGTTGAAGAGGCTAAGGGTTGCATACTTTGTTTTGCCATCCTTTGCCTTGGTGCTCTGCCCTGACTTCTCGGACATTTCGCTGGAAACTCATTGAGTCTGGTCCTTTGGCCTCGCCCCCAGAACCAGCCTCCTATAGCACAAGGGAGAGAAAAATAAGATCAGAGAAGAGACCCCCCCCAAAAGTTTATTGGCTAAAATACCAATGTGTTTGACTTGGTATTAAATTTAAAAGGGGTTTTCCCTCCAGGGACTACGTTAACACTCATAATGAACTTGCATGAAGCCTGATCCACCTAGTGAGCAGATCAGCTTTTAATGGTCTGCCAAATTGGAAGTAGGGCTGCCACAAACGATTATTTTGATAGTCGACTAGTCACCAATTATTTTTGCGATGAGTCGACTAATCAGATCATGCACCCATTGGACATAAAATGTACAACTTATTGCACCAGCATCTGCTACTCTTATATAACTATCATTAGCTTACAGCTTTAAGTGTGTAAGGTCTGTGCTAACTAAAAATAAAGACAAGATGATAGTTTATTAAATTTTAATGAAATGTGCAGATTGTTTCAGTGGAGTTTAATAAACTCAGCCGTGTGCTCCTTGCCATCTAAAATATAACAGGACACCTGAGTATATTCTCGAGCATGTCACACTTCTGATAATCAGTTGCCTGCTTGACGTTTATTCAGCTGTGTAAAAACGATAACTTTAATCTCAGCCAAACAGATTTACTCAGGGACAGATGAAATACTAAAAAAAAAGCCAAACAATATAATTTTTAAGTTATCCAAGTCACTCATATATTATGTTTAACCTGAGTAGCGAAAGACTGTGGTGGGTTTGAAAACGATTTGCCGCGAGTCCGGTGTTCTCACGGGCTCTAGTGAGCCTTGAACCCCGGTTAGCTATCGAGCTGGTGGGTAACAGACGTCTCCAAAAACGTCGGAGCGCTTTGGAAAATATGTGGTCTCTTGATAAACTGAGCAAATATTTGAGGTTTACACAGTTATATTCTCGCCTGAAAATCTGTTAAGTTTATTTTGTGACCATGAAAGAATAATAAGAGTAATATTAAAACCAACTAGCTGCCGCCATTGTTGAAAACTGAGC